AACAACTTTTTTTAAAAAAGCCTTTTTAAAAATTCCCAAGGCATATACTTGATTTTTCAAAACTAACACGCTGTATAAACACCTGCTTACATTGACCGCCCATTATCAAAACCGATCCGATATTTGAGATAAAGGCCCGTTTACGGCTGATAACCGCAAACGTAAACCATCACTCAACCTTTTACGTGCTTACCGTTACGTGATTCATGATGAAAACGTGCGCGAAAACGAATTGACCGCGTCGTTTTTAAATTGGCAAAATAAAACAGCAATTAAAATCCGTATTCCTATTAGTCGTCCTCATTGGAATAGTCGGAAGATTTAGGAATCTGAGACTGTTTAGTACAAAAAGAGAATAGAGCCTGTGACAGGTAAGATGCAGTTAGTTAGCAACTATTGGCCGCCAGATGTCAGCACGGTAGCGGGTGACAGCGAGAGCTAATATATGTCCGAGATAGTCGCGACAGTAGAACAGGACCGTACTCACAGAATTCAAATATTTAATTATCCTTAAACTTTTAACCAAACTTCTCCTTCAACAATCAAGCAACAGTTTATACAATTCTGAGAAGAACAACTGCAGTTCTAGCACCAACAAACTACTAGATCTTGTTGCTTGTTGTTGCTTGTTCTAGATTGCTTATGTTGCTGTTTTTCAATGAGTTTAACGTAGGGGTTCTAAAGCCGCTCCTTGCGTGACTTCCTTTACCAGAATTTTGCTATTTTGTGTGTAGTTTTGCAAGTCCGTCTCTGGTGTCGGCATCGGATTTTCAGTCTAGAGCGGTATGCGATCGCTCGCGACCATAACTTGCGAACTGCCATCTGACCACGCACTATCTACATATACATATACAGGTACCGACCACAGATCCATACATACTATGAACCTCAATCTGAAGAATCGGAATTTTTTCCTTTTGAATCGACGAAAACGTTTCGACTGTCATTGGCTAGCGTTATGAGTCATTGGACATGTCAAGGAGACCATAATTAAATGCTGAATGCGAATTTACATAAGAATTTTCGTCCGTGCTAGAGTTGCGGTGTGTGCGTTTTTCGCAAAAACTCCGCCCTCGGGAAATATACGCCCTTTTTTAAAGTTGTTGGGTTTTTTCGATGAATTATGGATTAATGATTGCGTCATGTTTAAATATCGCATTTAACATTTAAATGTGGCTTCATAAATCCACGAGATGGATTACGAACGTGGTTCAGAAAGGTAATAAAATCGACGGTACGCTCATCCTCTTATTTATTGTATGTAGGTACAAGTGCATTTCCATTTCGAATTAATGAATTTATTTCAATGAGCTCTATTATGTATTAACACTCTTTATGCAAATGGATGGCGATGGTGCATTATTCACCGGTAATAAGAAGACAGTTCGTCTATCCGTTGAGACAACATAATAAAGCTAATACTGTTAGATGAATTATGCTGCGCCACTTTTTTTTTAAACACAATCTTTTATCATCTTATCAGCAGTTATGTACTTGAATAGACTATGTTAACATTTTTGCTAAATCGCGAGATTTTAATTCAGACATTAAAAGATTAAGAATATTTCGAATAGTTTCGGTGGTGGTTTATACAGGGTGTTTACGGTCTTGGAGGTGAGAATTAATCTGCCAAGAGAAGAGTGTGAAAATGGTGTACCCAAGAAAAAAAACTCACAAAATTGTTATTTTTAATAAGGTTGGTACAAGGTTTGAGAGTCACTGGAATTATTTATCTCTTTGTTAAGATAAAATTACATTGTTGCAACAAATATAGTGTTTGTCAAAATTTGAAGATCTTTTGTTTAATCACTTCCAACGAAATCGTTTCCAATAGGTTTAATTTGTTTCATTGTTTCTTCATAACTCTTTTCAAAATTTATAAACAAAGATGGCAAATATTCAAATAATAAATTAGTTGTCGTGATTATGATTTACGATGAAGCACAAGGGAATGGTATACGTACTCATAGCTACAGTTGTAGCCGAGACAGTAGTTCTCAAATTATTTCTTTTCAGAACGTGGATTTCTATTTTATGTAGCGTATTAGGTTTCTTCTGTCATGCATATCATCTTCTTTATATTTGGACCTAACACCTAACACCCTGTACCTAAAATATGTATGTTCTTGATATAAATTGTTTTCGCCCTCTGGCTATAAACGACACCTCAAAAATAATCGTGCATTTCTCTCCTTTTATGTATAATTTACTATTTCATCTAACTAGGAATGACACTTTATTCCCTCATTTTTGCCTAATAATTTGGTACTTTATTAGATACCACGAAAATAAAGTAAATGGAATATCGATTTTTACTTTTAAAAACTGGAAATATCAACTGGGATTGAATGAATTGAATCTTTTGAGTGTTTTCTGAGATAAACAAACTATTTGACATTATTTGACAAATTTATCATTTTCTTATGTTATTATTTTTAGTATAGAAAAACTTTTTTAATTAAAACATTGTAAAATTAGTTTTTTTTTTAAAACCTTGAGAATACATTGAATGTTAAATTTTACACATACAATTTAGATTTTATAAAGATATAAAAATTTAAAGAAAACTCGTAAATCTTCTTTTTGCCCTTTTCTATGTATGATGTGCATTTAGTAGTGCTTTTTATATACATATATTATTTGATTATTTATTATTTTTGGTATTTACCACAGTCGCTTTAAGGCCAATTTACACCGCCTATATACAGTTGAAGACAAAATACTTTGGTCGTCAATGTCACTTGGGTGACATTAAATTGTAAAGCATGCTTTAGGACTGTTAACCGTATTTTTAGCTACTGTCAATCATAGTTGACAAGTTGTACACATTTTTGATAGAAAGATATAATAGCTGTCATTAATTTGAAATTGTCATTCATTAAAGCTTGAATTACATTAAAGTGTCAGAAATGTGACGACCAAAGTATTTTGTCTCCAACTGTACTATGGTACTATACTTTTTGTTTTTGTCTAATAAATTAACTTTGGAATATTTTAAACGAAATTTTATCTTTATAACTGATCAAAAATAATAAAAGACCATTTTAAGGTTGTCAATAATTTATTTTAGAAGTATTAAGTAAAAAGATTGTCTCCAAAAAGATTTAAAAAAATTACAAAAGTAAATAATATAAATTTCACTAATAATTAAATTTACAAAAGATGCAATCCAGTGTGTTCACAACGTTAACAGTAATTACAAAATAAATTGTTTTAGTAACACTAATTTATAAGTGTATGTAGCAAAATCATTAAATTGTGAGCAAAATAGATAAACTGTTAAAATTTTGTTTTCAAGTTTCAAAAATAATTGTTTTTAGCATCGTCGCCTCATCTGTTGCGTAATCTTGCAACTACTTAAAAGTAGAAGGTAATTTTACCGACTGAGTCAATATTTACAATATGGCTGTTAGGCATCTCTTGTGTTAATAAAGAAAACAAAACGTCAAAATTACTGTTTGTCTTGATAAAAATCAAAATTTCACGTGAAATTTTCGTTGTTTTGTTAGAAAAACCAAGTAATGGCAGAGCAGTAAGTACCATACATTTGACATGTCATGATTAATAAACAACGGTAGTTGTTTGCCTCCATATGTAATAACAATAGTACGAAATACGTTGTTTGTTAATTAATAAACAATAAATCCATCATGAAAAAAATGTTACGTAATTGTAGGGATGATAACTGGTTTGGTAGTTGGTTAAACGCTGCGAAAGATAAGGTAAACATCATCTTAAATTCTAAGGTTAAAATGACAATTAAATTATTTTGTAATTTTAGAGCTCTAAAGTGCTGGAATTTGTCAAAAAAGATTTAGAAGAGTTCGGGACTGCCGTTAAAAATGAGGCGAGTTATGTCGTTTCCTCCACAGGGAATGCTATTGAAAAAACTTTTAAGGTAATTCAAAGGAGTTTATTTTAATTGTTTTAACCTTATCAGTTTCTCGAACCTACTGTTTGAATTTTAAATTAGATTAGCTTGAGTTAGTAAACACCTTTTTTGCTACCTACGAATACAAACGTTCATAATTCAATTATTTTAAGCTGGACACTCCAGATTCAACTGCCAGCTCCATGAAAAGGAGTTTCAGTTCTTTTCTTGGTAATAAACTAATATTATGTGTACCCCAGTTTCAATTGGAATTACTTTAGGTCAAATGAACACTGTCCTAAACCCCACTCCTGACGATTCAGACACTGAAGCCATCTTAATTGTTGAAGATTCAGAAACCGTTACCCTGACGAAGTTACAAAAAGCCATTTACGAATTACAAAAAGAAGACACCACTTTTACAGACGATCCTGAAGAAGCATTAGCAAAGAAATTTGAATGCTGGCTTGAAATCATTGATGACCAGCTGTCTGAAGACAGGATAAATAAACACTTAAGCAGTTCCACTGTGCTTAGAAATCAATACAAGAAACTTGTGCCTGACACTGTGCCACACTCTTTATTTTGGAAAAGGTATGCCCTAAGTCGGGTTTGTAACAAATGCCGCATGAATCAATCGTTATTATTCCATAGGTATTTATTTAAAAAAGCGCTATTAGAAGATGAAATTGCTCACGAAGAAGCCATGGAGAGGAAGGAGAAAAAAGAAAAAGCCATGACCGTTGAAACAGTAAAGTGGGATCAGGGTAAGTTTTATTGCACAATCAGAGTAAGTATAAGTTATAATAAAACTGCAGAAGATCTCGCTCCATACATTGATCTAACAGAAGAAGAGCAAATCAAGTTACTTCAAGAATATGAAAATGAGATTAAGAACAAACAAGACACCAAATGTAAGGAGAGTAAGAAAGAAGCGTCGACATTGGCAATTCCAGACACTTGTGATACTAATTCTAAAGTTTCCAATTTAGAAGAAGAAATGAAAACCTCCCAAACGAAAACCATTAATAAAGTTGATTCCGCGATTAGTTTAGAAACGACTAGTAGTAACAGTAGTACAGATGGTGATTGGGAAAAAATCGGCGATATTGATAAATAGATCAATGTATGTATTCACCATGTATTCAGGATTTATATTTAAATACTTTTTATCTTACATGTAGTTCACACAATGCAATTTTTGGGTTTTATTTATGAATTTTGCAACAATAAATTGTTTTTACTAGTCTAATTTGTTTAAACTATTGTATTTTATATATTGTTTATCTCAAATAAATTGATGTACGCATTATTACCTCAATACCGTGTTTTACGCCTTTGCCAACTTTGCTAAGTGTCTTTTCAGATACAACAACTGAGCTTGGCTCTCTAACTTGGCCAAATTTTTGACTATGGGCGCCATCTGAGCAGTGTGATTTTCGTAATTGGTAGTTTGGAGTTTCCTCTTTTGGCCGTAAATCACTTTTCCGTCAAACTCATCATGCGGGACTTTCATGTCAGGTTCGATTTGTTGAATTGTTATGTTTAAATGCTCTTCAATGTCTGCCAAAAATTGAGGCTCGTTGTACCAAATGCAGCAACCTTTTTGTTCCACTAGATTAGTATTCCAACAGTTGCGACCTCTACTCTTACACCATTCGCCGTGGTACCACACCTGCAATGTTTTCATATACTTTCAAACCAAACATTTTTGTTCAGACTTACTTTTTCCGGAATTGAGCTCACTAGACTTATCGCAAGACCCATTCGCTCGGCTCTACCAACTCTACCGATTCTGTGCACATAATTGGATTTCTCATCCGGTAAAGTAACGTTAATCACTGAAATTTAATTAATGAAACTACACCAAATATATTTACTAACTACTCTACTAACTAAAGGGCAAACCGGAAATGTCAAGCCCCCTCGCCGCAACATCAGTACAAATCAAAAACTTCACTTTCCCCTGCTTGAAAGCCTCCAAATTGCTTTTGCGTTCGTTGGGTTTCCGGTCTCCGTGCAAACACACACAAGAGTATTTATTTCTGTCGAGTTGTTTAAAGTATTTCTCTAAATTATCACAATCCAGTTTCGTGCGACAAAAAATAATCGCCCTGTCCATCTGATGTTCATCTATGGCTCGTACGCAATATTCCCCTTTGAGCATTTTCACAGCCTCACTTAAAGTCTCCGGACTGTTATTCCCCGCCCTAACATCATCTTGCGCATGGACTCCATCTGTCAAAATGTGTCTGCGGAGATTCGCCCAAGACCTGTCTTTCTGGGGGTCCACCTTAACAACCACGTGATGTACAGTCTCAGGGACTGCATCTTCGCCCTTCAAATCGACCCACGTCGGGAAATGCATAAGTTTCTCGGCCATTTTTTTCACTTCAAACGCATGCAAAGTAGCACTGCAAACGATCATTTGCAATCTTCGGCCATCAGCGGTTATTTTTGGCATTTGTCTGTGCAGTCTTTCAATCAGATCGGTGTATCCTTGTTTTAAAAGGCCATCGGCTTCGTCTAAGACGAAAAATCGGCAGTTTGTAAGCAATAAATATCCACCCTGGATCAGATCTTCCAAACGGCCAGGGGTACCAACAATAATGTCAGCCCCCACGTTTTGTAAAGTTGAGATTTGTTCTTTTACATTGACGCCTCCTATTACTAAAAGCTCACGAATTGCAGGAGATTCCAAAAATTGTTTGAATTTTTTTATCTGATTTGAAGTTTGTTCTGCTAGTTCTCTAGATGGTTCTATTATTATTGCTTGAGGAGCGTTATTTTTTATTTTAACTGAATTATCATCGCCCGTTTCACCAGAATTTGTATTAACTACAACTTTCTCACTTGGAGCTTGTTTAATAGGAACGTACCCTTGGGGAAGTGGATATTTAAATGCTTCTTCCCCAAAGTTGAAAGCCATTTCAGCATTCTAAAATTATTATAATAATTTTTATGAAAAAAATGGACAGTAATTGTTACTTTTAATACAACTGCAGGAAAAAATGCATTGTTTAACATTGGTTTATTGATTGTAAACGCATTCCCTAAGTCAGTGCCATTTTTGCAAAATTTTATTTGTCCATTATCAAGATCTAACAAGCATGTGATTGTGTCACTTTTCCCAAACGGCTCGCCGTAATCGTCAAATTGTTTATTATTTGACTTTTTTCCAGTACCGCCAAATCCAAACCCGTTCCTAATAAAAATTGAGTAAAAAAACCTATGTGTTTTTAACTGACCTGCAGGTGCCTAGATCTAATTTAGCTTGCAGGGTCGACCACCCCACTCTGCACAACCCCTCATCAGTTACAGTAGCCTCAAAAGCATATTTACCACTGCCTTGTACCCCCCTAGTACACCGTCCGCCATGCCATTCCCTTTGTTCTCTAGACTGAACGCGTAAACCGCAAGGAGCCACAGCCAAAGCCGTCCCTCTGTCAATCATAGACATTGTCCAAGGCTTAGCTGTAATACGTTTAAGTTAATTTTCTAAATGAGAGTGAAAACAATATTTACATGAACTAGTGGAAACTTTAGAAACTTTTCCACTTTGTATATCTTTTAAAGTCTCCCAAACAATTTGAATTATGGGTAAACAAAACGCTGCCGTTTTGCCACTGCCAGTTTCTGCAGCCATCAAGACGTCACCGCCCCCCAGAATTAGGGGAATGCTTTCAGCTTGAATATCAGTTGGTAAACTAAAATCAACAGTTAAAAAAAGATTAATTGCTGTGGCATACCCTCGTACGTCCATTCCATCTCATCGATGGCTTTAGCGATTTCAGGAAGAACCCCAAATTCTGAAAAAATCTAACCTCAAAAACAAAAATATCAAAAATTAATACGCACCTTCAAAAGCCGTCATTGTTTTCTATAAAATCACAATCGGAATTTATAAAAAAAAACAACTTTCTCGTGTGTGCAGCTTTTTCTTTATCTTTTTCAAAAATTAAGAAAAACACCGGTTATTTACTTTTGACAGTAGAAATGACACCACAAATGACATTACATACATCCAAATATCCAATATAGCCAACTGTAGAAATTATTCAAAAAAAAAGAAAATCGTCTACTAATGTATTTCAATTATTGAGATTAAAATAAAACTTTGCTTAATTACGCACTTAACACAATTATGTTCAAAATTATTTACTACAATACCGTGGTTAAATCTAAATAAATTTAAAAATAAAAGTTTTAAGACGGGCAATCAAGCGATTGGTCCACCTAATTCGCACTTGTCAAATTTATCTAGGTTGTCATTGTCATTTATCTGTCACTAACTTAACCTCAAAGTTTTGTGTTCATTATAGTACGGTTCATAGTTTATAGATCGATTTTTGGTATTACGCGACGTCTTCTGTAATTATGCAAGGCTATTAACACCATGACCACCAGCACGAGCGATTGGCCTTGGCAATACCACTTTCCTCCGTTTTTCACTCTTCAGCCGCACCCCGAGACTCGATCTAAACAAGTAGCAGCATGGAAGAGCCTCATTCTGGACTATTGTCAAAAGAATAAACTATACATAATCGACGTAAGAGAAGCCCACCAACTGCCCCTTTTTCACAACACCACTATGAACCGTAAACTGGACTCGTCAGTGATTGTTTCAATTTTATCAGAATTGGCCAAAACCGGTAATGCTGCATCACTAGACAAAACGAAGAATCGCTGGGAGATTTACTGGCACACATTAGAAGAGTGGGCTTCAATGATATACGATCACATTTGCGAGCTTGGGATGCAGAATAGTGTGTTGACTTTATTTGAACTTTCACAAGGGGATGACGTGCAAAGTAAGGAATTTGCAAGCATGCAGACCGATGTCTTGATTAAGGTACTGAGGGTGTTGGAGAATGAAAGGAAGTGTGAGTTGATCTTGTCAGATGAGGACCAGGGAGTGAAGTTTTTTTAACAGGTTGTAATAGAGGAAATAAATTATTTTTATTAATTTACTATTTCTCATTTGACGCAAAACATTTTTTCTAATGCTTCCTACAATTAAAAATAACTGGTAAAAGTTATGCAATTTCAAGGCTAAAAAAATTGGCATCAGTTCACATATTGATTGCTGCAATATGGAAGACGATTTTTTAGTCAAAGTTTTAAATCTGTACAAAAACCAAAAATGGAAAGAAATTATCGAGTTGAACAAAGTTGAAAATGCAGTGGCGGCGCGAAAATTATTGTGGGTTTGGCCCAGTGAAAGTAATTTGCAAATGATGCAAAATACGATTCGCGAATTTAATTTGGACGGTGCTATCTCAATTGGATGCGGTTGCGGCCTGTTTGAATGGCTTTTGGAGCAATATTCTGGTAAAAAGATATTCTAAATTGAGAAAATAATTAATAGAAAGTGTTAGGGTTGCCGATAATTGGATATGAAGTTAATCAAGAGTGGTGGTCAAGTCGGTACAGCAACCCCCAATTCATTAAACTCAATTTTCCTGATCAACCCCCGACCCCCGAGATTCTTATCCCTAGTTACGCCCTTTTATTTTGTTATTTTAATGACGGGAAAGCTTTTAGGGAATATATCAGTTGTTACAAGGGCAATGTTGTGTTTATTATAGGGCCAGGACATGGGGCCGGTCGTCACACTGACCCTCAACCCTTTAGCCCGAATTTCGGATCAAATGACTGGATTTTGTACAAATCGCAAGAAGTTAGAGATACTAGAGACTTTATCGCAGTTTATATTAGGGAAAAAATTGATTCTATTATTTCTTAGATAAATAAAATTTATTTTAACTTTGTGGTTTTTGATCGTGAACGGTGATCATATGAGCAACGTACATTTCTTTATTAACAGATCGAAACTGACACTCCTGGCAAGTGAACATCAGGTCTTTTTCCTGTCCCGGATGTTTCGTTTTGATGTGCACCTTGTAAGTACTACTTTGAATGCAAGCGTAGGAACAGTACGAACATTTGTAGGGCTTTTGGCCTGTGTGTCTTAGCTTATGCCTTCTGAGCGAGTTGTGATCGGAAGTGGCATAAGAGCAGGAATCACAAGTGAACGGTTTCTCCCCCGTGTGTTGCCTTATGTGCATCTTCAGGGAGCTTCGCGACGACCCCTTGTACCCGCAATAATTACACAAAAACGGCTTGATTTTTTCATGAACCACGTTCATGTGAATTTTAAGTTGCCTCTTGTCAGAGAAACTTTTCGAGCAGATCTCGCAGGTGAACTTCAAACGCTCAAATTCCTTCTTGTGGGTGATTTTGTGATTTCCCAGTTGTTTGCTGTTTTTGAAGGCCTTTTTACACACGTTGCAGACGTAAGCCCGCACGTCTCCGTGAATCAACTTGTGAATATTATTCAGTTTTGCCAAACTGACAGACTTGTAGCTGCATTTATCACACGAGTAGAGCTCCATGTCGATTTTGTGTAGTCGCCACAAGTGACTCGTGAGCTGTTTCCACGACATGAAAAACTCGCTGCAAACCAAACACGTAAAGCCCGAATCCTTGTGACAACTGATGTGGTAATTCATGTTATCTGCACTTTGTAAAGTGACTTTACACATAGGCACCATGCAGGTTTGAGTTTTCTTCGCCCCGATTAACTTACTGATGATATGTTTGTTGAAAATATTTTCGGTTTTGACTGTTGGTGTTTCAACTTTCGATAGGTCAATGCTTTTGGGAGAATCTCCCTCGCTGTTTTCTTGGCGTTCGGTGTCAAAACTTGACCCGATTTTAAGAGGAGTCACTTTTTTGCTATCTGAGTTTTTCGCTTTATTAGCGCCATAAACCACAGCTTGGATAATAAGGTTTATGTCGGAATTTCCGACACCGTGATCGTGGATCAAGTGTGACCTTAGAGACATTTTGTGGAAGAACACATTAGGGCATGCTGGGCATTTTAAGTGGGGAAGTTTTCGAACCGTTTTATTTTTGTGTGCATTTTCAAGATGCTCGGTGATTTTCGAATTTTTTGTGCACAGGAAAGGGCATAAATTACACACGAAGTATAACATGTTTTCAAAGTTATTTCCATTTTTAAAGCTTTGTTTCTTTACTGTTTCAGACTTATCACTGTTCTCTTTGAGTATGACGTAATTATTTTCGTGGGTTGATTTTGAATCATTATTATTGTCGTTATGTACGTTTGTTGAAACTTCATTCTTGTCTCCAGGGTCAAGGTTTGAGAGAATTGAAGAAATTTGGCAATTACCGATTACAGGGAGACAAGTCTACAACGCAAGTTGACTTACGAGTTGATAATAAATTTCAAATACTTACTTCGTCAGCTAATAAATCTTCATTATTGCTCCAAATAACGTCCCCTGGAGCAATGTTATCAGTCTTCATTGTGACCTATTTATACTAGTCACAAATAAATAATTGAAAATTTACTAAGTGGTCCGTCGTCTCGTTGACATTTTTATTTAAAGTGATTTAATCACTTTTTTTGACTATTTCCACATATTTTTCTCTAGTTTGGAAGTGTTTTTAGTGGTGACAACAATGATCTGGGCAGATAACCTACAAATGTCACTTGTCAAAATTTGTCAACCATGCTTGATTCTGATTGGTTGATTTCTAAGGTGAAAGTGCCCATAGGCGGCTCGTTGGCCCGAGTAACAGGGGTCCAAGAAACTGTAAAGTTGCAGAAATAAAAATCCGTCTCATGTATTATATACAATTTATTAGATTTATACATTTATATGAAAACAATCTAAAATTACAATTGAAGCATGTTTTATGAATATCGTTTTGGTATTCGCCATGTTTTCTTCTGCGTTATGCAACTGTATTGAGTACATGTTATGTGCACTTAATCCAAGAAAGTATAAAATATTTAATTGCTTTATTAGCACACTGACGTCACGTGATAACATTACAAAAATGCCGGTTCATTTTCGTAATATTTTCTTTGCAACTTATAAAATATATGACATTTATTACACTTTTTTTTATTATTATTTATGTACATTTATAATACATCCACAAAACATATAAAGAATTTCTTTATAAAACAGAAAATAAAAAAATTCGCAAAAAATTAAATCATAAAAAGTCCATATCAAGGGCGTTGTATAATGCTGCTATCTCACTGTGACTTGTTATCCGCCAAAAAGGAAAATTCATTGCTTTCGCCGCCGCCTCCTCATCTTGTCCGTCTCCAATCACTACGTATGTACACTTTCGGCCAAACCTCGCCACTATACGTTCAAAACAACTTTCTTTACCTGTGTAAAATTACAAATGGTCACTTTGAATAATTAATTTACGTTCGGGTTTACCTATCTTGGTTGCGGAATAAATATTGTCAATTGGAAAGACGCCTCCTAAGCCAAACAACAGTACTTTGGCTAAAGCTGGAATAAGTTGTGTTGTAGTGACCAAGACGTTTACACAGTTTGTCCTCGAATTAATCAAAGTAAGACATTTATTGGCCAACGTTAGCCAATTGTCAGTCACTGCTTCAATTTCCGCCCGCAGTTGAAGCCACTGTTCTCGTTTGTTTGAACCCAAAAGTCCCCCAACACTAAAACTATATTTTAGACATTTCGATCAATCATATAATAACTAGTAAATACCTATTTCGGTAATTATTATAGGTTTCTTTAATTTTCCGATATCTGAAGGCTAACTTTCGCATCCAATCGACGCCTCCTCTCACCCCCGTCGCCAGACACAAATTCCCTCCAGTTACAGATGTTGAGGCATGAAAACCGTCTGAACTAAAATTATAATTTGATAAATCTTGGCCGTTGTCATCTGACGAAACGTCGTCAATATGCACTTGATCACAATCCTAGAAGAGACAACTTTAGAAAAAAGTACACCTTTGCTACATTTAACATACTTCTATATCATTAAAAAAGAAATGGGTGTCCGCGAGATTGAACACCATTTCCTCCATTTTAAATCCGAGTTGGACCACACTTTGAGCATCTTTTTGATATTTCGTAGCGTAACTCCCTGTTAGTAAACTATGGAATATAATGATGGTCTCGTCAAGATCCCAAATGAATACTCGATCTGTGGCAGATTCTGGGGTTGTGGGTGACACTGTGTTCGTCCGTCGGCCTCTGCCTCGCGTCCCTCTTTGTTCTGTTCCTAAAGTTGAGGTTTCACGAGATCTTCGGGCACTGTCTGCTTTCAAAGGAGAAGTGGAACCGTCTGCTAAAGTGATGCCATTTGAGGGACTGTCTGAAATTTTAAGTGATTTTGTTAGACACGACTCGGAAGAAAATAAGTACCATCAAAGTCCTCTGAATCACTGGTGTCGCTATAGGGACACAACATTGTTTTTTCCTTATTTTGAAAGAAAAGTTAGGTTATGTTTGTTTACAGCTGTCAAAGCAAGGTCAGCTTGCATTCATTCGAATTTTCATCCGTCATAAGGACTGACGATAACCTTTTCTAATTTTTTTTAATTAAAATTAAAAATTTAGTAATAAATAATTTTTTAAATGAATTTTCTTATTCATTTAACAACAATAATGTTTTGTTTTATAAATTAAACTTAAAATTATCCAACTCAAAAGTGTTAAATTACAAACAACTTTAAAAGTGGTTTGCTTTGATTAAAAGAATATTTTGTGTTAAAGCAAAATTAAACAAGGATTTTTGTGTGTGTTGGAACTACAATTATTTGCGGTCTTTACTATACTTAACATACAGTAAGAAAAATATTTTGTTTTTACCTGGAAGAGAAGTGGCTGCAAGTTGGTAGGAAGAAGCCCCCAGACTTCCACTCGAACTTGGCGAACTAACATAAGGTGAGTAAGTTTGTGAGGCATAATAACTTGAGGCATATTGAGAAGTTTGAGAATCACTGTAAGCTGTACCATAAGTCCCATACTCAACTCCCTGAAGGCAATAAATTCACCGATAGTTAACAAACCATTTATAAGAAACAATATTTTTATACCCACCTGTGCGGAAAACCCTTGTGCAAATGTGGAAGAAGCCGGTGCAGTGTAGGACGCATACGGTGAATATTGGCTCTGGCCACTGTTTTGAAAAGGTGATGCTGGTGACGAGTACGGCGACGTTATATACCCCGAACTGGCCTTACACGACGGATTCAACCCTCTGGACGATCCTAATGACGAATAAGGATACGAAGAAGCGTTGTAAAACGACGACGCGGGGTTCATGTAGGATGATGTGGCCGAATTCGTTGTGCCATATGCTTGTTGCATGCTAAGAACACATTATTGCAATAGAGAAATAAAGAAGTGCTATGAGGATCACCTATTGTAATACTGTTGAGCTGAGTACGATTGAGGGTACTCCTTGTCGTAGAGATTGCCAAGTTCGGCCGCCGTTCCGTAGAAAGATAGAGGGTCTTGTGTGAGGGCTGCCACGTCGTTTTCGGCAAGGCCAGGACTCCTAATTTCACTTTTAATTCCCGCTGTTTCGCCTAAAATTGACCAGGAGGAGGTGAAGTTGGTCGGGACGCAAGTGGACGTCGCCGTCGTTGAGGATACATCGGCGTTGTGGTTGGTGGCAGTGGACGCTGTGGCCGGGGGTGAGCTGCAGGTGGAGGATGAGTGACCGCTTTGAGGGCTGCAGGCGCTTTCACCCACCGCCAGCCTAATGAAAAAAATATTGTTTAAGGGGATTTTCCAAATATCAGCTAGCATTTATATTACACACTCCCTTTATTAACGGTTTCTTTATATTAACGGTTAACGGACAAAACTCCTTTGTATTTAAAATTTCAAAAATATAAATACAGTATGTCTCCGGATTGAGTTTACAAGAGGAAAAAATCTTTGATTTTACGCTAAAACTGCAAAGGAGAAACATTTTTTGCTTTACCTGAAATAAGCAATTCTGTAATTAAAACTTCATTATTCAAACTCAGTAGAAACAAAAGTTCATTTTTCTCTTGATTTTCTATGCTTTTTAGGTCCTATCACATTGGCGGTCAAAAATCAAGAGAAAAATTAACTTTTCTTTTCACTGAATCACAATAATGAAGTTTTAAGTACAAATTTGCTGGTTTCAGGTGAATTAAAAAATGTTTTTCCTTTGGAGTTTTGGCGTAAAATCAAAGATAAACTTAATCCGGGGACATACTGTATGAAAAATTCATATTGTACGAGACTGACTGACGATGATCTTCTGTGTTGGCTTATTGTTTGATTAATAAATTGATATGAATCAAAGGCCCTAGTTGCTTGAACCACATTTTAGAATAAAAAAAAGTGAAAATAATTTTTATATTTACACATTACTTAGCAGCTTTTTGTTATGTAATAAAAAAAACACTTCCCCTAGTCTGAATAAGGGTGTGAGATGTCAGGAAGAACATTAGTTTATTTATAGAATACTTAAGGAGCCACAAACTCATTAATCAATATAATTGTAAAATAGCGTTTCTCTCATCAGAATTTGTCTAAAAACATACTAAAACTGGAACTCTACGAATACCTAAATTATTATACACCTTTGACAAACATCCATCCATTATGAAGCTTGCTAATCTAGCTTACTTAATTAACAGAACAAAAAAGAATAAATTAAATTAACAAAAAACATTACCTACTATAGGTATTTGTTTGTAATGTTTTTAATATTGCTACAATCAAAGATTATTTTCGTTCTTAATTCATTTGCTTTGAGTAAAAAACAAAACTGTAAGTAATAATCATAAATGGTGAAAACGAATAATGTTTTGTAACGGTGAGTTAGAAAACTGCTTAGCTTAAAAATATAAAATATTTCAACTATTATTTTATTTTAAAAAACGTGTGTGAATGTTATTGTAGGAAAAACTGTCTATCTTCCAAAATCTAAATTTACCGACAATCCTAAACACAATTTTATTACACAATTTGCTATAAACTCGGACAGGCTCGATTAAATTCTGAGTGAATTATTACCAATGAACATTTTTCCAGGATTTGAAAACATTAAATTAGACCCAAATGGCGCTTTATTATCACATTTCTTATTAAAATCAATATATTCCTTCCAATAGTGTTATAAAGTTATTGTTGTTATAAGTTATAATCCCAAATATTCAACACTCGTTCACTCAAATGAAAAGTTCTTTCGTCCTTCGCTGGCTTTGCGGCCGTAACTCACTCGCTGTGCCAACCTGACAAGACGTATGTCACCGTTCGTGTCACACCCAGCAAGTTGTCATTTAAAAATTCCCCTCGTTTCTATCCACCCATTCTCCATCCGTCTCTCTTTCGCTCGTGCTGCAGCACAGACACCGTGAAGGAACAATCTTCAACCAACACCCGCACTTCGACCCGGTCTTTCCAAGAAATTTATGTGTTTTGTCCCCTGTCCAATATATTATATGCCCGATTATTTTTTCATGGAGGGATTTTGAACCGTGCCAGATTGACTCCAACCAGACTAGAACAAATAGATTTTTCGGTAGCGATCTCGCGACAATCAAATAAACAAACCACCGTCGTATGCGAAGTTTTCTCAAAACACATTAAAACGTGAGTGACACAGGTTTTAACATATAGAAAACAACAAGTGTCAACTGGGAAGTTAATGGTGCTGCAAAGATGGAATAGACGAAGACAAAGAGCTCGAATGGGACGGTTCGACAAAGAAAGAACCGCCATTTGGTTCACACATGTTTTCGATGTGAAGAATACTCATTATGTTCCATTTTCTTTCGGTAGTTTTTAGTTTAGGAAGCTGGCCTTATACAAACATCGGTAATTATTATGAGATGGAAGAGATGACATGTATATCGTCCCACAACTTCGCCTCATTATCTATCAAATCGACCCTCAACACTCCCACAATTAAAAAACTCGAAAAATTAGACTGCTTTTTACAACAAAGTCACAAAATTGAAAAATTATTACAAGATGCCATTTATGTTCTTTAACAATTGAATGTAAGTAAGTAGATAATGTAAGTATGTTTGAAGTGTTTTTTGAGTACCTAGTGAATTCACAATTTAAAATAACACCAAGTTTTCTTTTTGTTATTGTTGGTTCTTTAGAAAAGAAGAACTTAAGATTTTTTATGATTTGTAATGACAAACTTATTATTTTCGTATTTGAAAAATAATACTTCAATAACTTTTTTTGTAATCTATTTATTTATTTGTTAAAGACATGTACCTAGCAAAAATGACAAAACAGAATTTTTTGTGTAAAAAAATCAGAGACTTCCAAATCTAATATACGAGTGAAAGAAGTGTGTTTCTGAAATGTTCACATAAATTATAAAAATTAAGATAACGCCTGATCTAGCGGAAAAATGTAAGTAGTTATGTTTATTTTCCTGCTAAGTTATGGATCAGAATTAAATATGTCTACAGTTAAAAATTCTTGAGACCATTGATTATACAGGATGTCCGCAAAGCCGTGCACCTCCGTGACATTGTATCGGGCGGTGCCAACAAAAAAAAAATGTTAAAAAAATCTATCTATAAAAATTTCTGAGTTATGCGAGTTTAAATTTTGCACTTTGACTATACAGGTTGCGCCAGAACTCGCGCCCCAGAGAAAAATGCCATATAAGGTAAGATACCAGGAACATGGAAAAAATGTTAAAAAAAAATATCTATAAAAATTTCGAAGTTATAAGGGTTTAAATTTTGCATTTTGACTCTATTTATTTCTGTTGGAAAAATAATTTTTCAAGTTTTTGTCCTATAGGCTATTAAAAGAGGAATCAAGGAAGCTATATCCTAAATTGTAACTCTGTTCAATGTTATTTGTGGCTTTTATTGGCAAAATTTTTGTACCTTTACTAAATAATTGTAAAAAAAAACATATACAAGATCATCAGTATCATTAAATAAACATAAAAAAATGTCAAATGTCAAAAAATTAATGTCAAAAATTTTTGACAGATAGAATTTTTTAAACATTTTTTCCATGTTCCTGGTATCTTACTTTACTTAAAATTTTTCTCAGGGGCGCGAGTTCTGGCGCACCCTGTATTTATTTCTGTTGGAAAAATAATTTTCCAAATTTTTGAAGTACAGACTATTAGAAGAGGAAACAAAGAAGCTATATCCTAAATTGTAACTCTGTTCAATGTTATTTGTGGCTTTTATTGGCAAAATTTTTGTACCTGTACTAAAAAAAACATGTACAAGATCATCAGTATCATTAAATAGACATAAAAAAATGTCAGATGTCAAAAAATAAATGTCAAATTTTTTTTACAGAGAATTTTTTAAACATTTTTTCAGGACTCTGGGGGACTACCCAATGACTCCCTTTCAAGGAGGTGCGTGACTTTCCGGACACTGTATTATGAAACGTATGATACGTAAATGTTTTTTCTTGGTCTTGATGCTCCGGAAGTGCTTTCACGTTTGAGTTTACTGGTTGCAAATGTGAGTCATTTGTGTGGTCAAAATTTAGTCCGGAGTCATCGGCTTGAAAACGAGCGAACGGATGTGTCGAGGTGGCAATCTTTGTCCGTTTTATTGCAAACAATTTGAAAAGCGACGGTACTTGTAATAAATAGTATCGTTAAAGTCAATACGAACACGGAAAAGAATGCTCTTTGGACGAGTAGCACATGTGACGAGGAAGTGGAAGAAGAAGGGTTGAAGTTTTAAAAATTACTCAAGCTGGTCGCAGGCTGGTTGTAAAACTGTACTAAAAACCACTCAAAGTGCACCATTTTACGTGTATGTGAATAAATAGAACGCTCTCTCGCGTATACAGTTCGAATGAATGTGTAAAAAATAAAACAGAATAAACACAAATCGGATAATTTTACGCAGACGTCCATTGAGTGAAAAAGTACCGAAAGGTGCGCGCCCAAATCGTTTTCGAACGAGTCGAGTGTGAAAATATTGCATATTTTAAATGCTTACAAGCCAGTTCTGTTTTTATTTGACACATATCCATTAGTTAAGTTAATGGATGTTTAAGGCCGGTTATAAATTGCCGTCGTGTAAGATTAAAATTTGATAAAACCATAAAAATTGTTGTTGATACAAGATAGTACTCATCAATGGACAAGATGAATAAATTTCCAGTTTTGTCCACAAGCGGTCGCGTCCCCTACCACCTCGATCAATCACCCGCAGCAAATACCAAAAAAACACCCGACTCTCAATTATCTCAATACAAATTGTCCCTCGATAAAGACCAGTTTTATTTAGTTGTAATAGTACCAATCCACAACCTGCCGAGATTGTGTGAATAGCCCGAAAAACGAGAAAAAAATCTCAAACGATGGAGATAATAAAACAAGAGATGGTAGGTGGGCTGGCAGGGCATACAGCGACCAGGAGGTCTGGCGCGTTATGTGACAAAACAACCATAACGAATTGATCAAGATTAGGTTCCGTATTTTTTAATTGCTCATTGAAGCAGATTTTTCGAGAAAAACTTCGTCAAATCGATTTTTTGACGGAGGTTTAACCACGCGAACCTCTTCTTCGATCAAATTTCGACCACGATGATGGCATGCGTGAGTCCATTGAGGAAACGGGTGCAAGAAGCACCGCTGAGCCATTGTCAAAAACACGTACTACCCGCAGACTTCAACAATAGCCTGCGAGTGGTAAATGCCCAAGAGGATATACAAAAAGAGAGTTTTATGGCCGTTTTACTGGGATGTTAGTTCTAAAGGTAATA